CCCGAGGAGTCACTTAGGCATGTCATCTATGGCGTGACATATGGCGGTTGTTCGGCGCTTTCTAACTCTGAGTACTTGCACAGGCACAACCTAGTAGCCAGAATTCTACACCAGGAGCTCGCTCTGAAATACGGTCTCGTGGACCGAAAGTTGCCGTATTACAAGTACTTGCCGGAAGCCGTGCTCGAAAATGACCGCGCCAGGCTCTACTGGGACCGGGCCATCATCACAGACAGGACTATTCTTGCGAATAAGCCTGACATTGTGCTGATGGACCGGGCACAGTCAAGGACATTTTTGATCGACATTACCATTCCGTATGACGAGAACCTCGTGAAAGCCGAAACAGATAAACGAACAAAATATCTGGACCTGGCTCACGAGGTGACCGACATGTGGGGTGGTATGCCGACCGAAATTATTCCTGTAGTCGTCTCTGCGAATGGGCTAATCCCAGTCAGCCTCTCGGGTCATCTGAGGCGACTGAGACTCCGTGACGGACCGCTCCGGGCTCAAATGCAGAAAGCGGTGCTCCTCGATACCGCCCGCATCGTCCGCTGGTTTCTTTCCCTTTCCCCCTAACCCTCGGCCGTTTGGTCTCCCCTGCCGAGGGCTCCCATCTGGTTGGATCTTATTTATTTATGTAGTTTTTGTATTTATTTTATTTTATTGATATTTATGTACATTTAACTTTTCATTTTAATTTATAATTATATATTTATAGAACCCAACCAGGTGAGAAAACTATATAGATACCCCAAATAATAATAATAATCTTTATTTGCAAGAATATGGTTGTACAATGGTGTTTGAGTATAATTCGTTCTACATATTCTACCTTAGTGGTGTGCAAATATTAATGGTCAAGTAACCTAAACAACAATACTTATCGAATTTAACAACATATATTAATTTAACAAAATATAAAATTATTTGATATTATTTACTTGATTTGATAATTAATTTATTATGCCACAGTGTCAGAAAAAACATAAGTAAGTATTATTATATCAAGTAAGATTATTATTATAGGTCAATGTCATATATTAATTATTATTCTTACGCAATAATTATATAATGTCATGTAATAATCATCTAACTTATAATAAACAGTTTTTGTTTAGAATGATTTGTACTTGTGCCTTAACTAAACTAACTAATAAGTAATAACTCAGTAATACAAGAAGTCTTGTTAAAAAGGAACCGCTGATTTTGTAGAGCCTGCACATTGGAAACGAGTTTGTACTTAGTATCGAGTGAGGCAAAAGAAATCATGTGATGGTGTGAGGTCTTCGGCTGTAATTTTTTTTACAAATGAAAAATTTTGGTTCCGTTTGTGGATTATTTATTTTTAATTTCTTTGAATTTTTTCCATCAAGTCGAGAAGATGATATCACAGCAGTGGCCGCCGCCAGCATTGATGATCATAAGAGCCCTTTTAATGCCACTTTCCATCACTTTTGCCAGAATTTCAGACTATAGGTTCGCGCATTCGTATTGGATGTTGTCCTTGAGGGCTTTCTGAGTTTGAAGCTTATTCACGTAAACACGAGACCTTAACAAACCCCAAAAACAAGTCCGGTGCGGTCAAATCGGGCGATCTTGGCGGCCAGTGCAAATCGCTAAAAGGAGAGACTAGGCGACCCGTAAATGCCTGCTTCAAAATGTCGGTTGTGGCTCAGGCAGTGTGCGCCGTTGCACCGTACTGTTGGAACCACATGTCCTCCAGTCCCAGCTCATCCAATTGAGGAAGAAAAAACTCGTTGATCATGACTTTGTAGCGATCGCCGGTCATAGTAACCGTTTCACCCGCGGCGTCCTCGAAAAAAATTACCTGATGATTCCTCCAGTGTAAACAGCGCACCATGCCGTAACCATAATCGGATGTAATGGCTCTTCGTGGATCATACGCAGATTTTTGGTGCCCCTGAAGCGATAGTTTTCGCGTTTTCACGTAACTGCTGAGTTGGGAATGAGCCTCATCGCTCATTATGAGTTTCGATGAAAATCGTCATTTTCTTGGTCAAGACTCGAGACGGCTTGAGCGTAGGTGACACGCATTTAGCTTTCAACAGCTAACAGCTGATGCACTGTCCGCACTTTGTAAGGGAACATATTGTTACGAGCTTGAGGTTCGTGACAATAAATATTGCCGATAGAATTACCAAAATTAACACTTTAATTCACTTTACACTAATTAAACTTAAAACACTAATAATTAATCACACTGATTCACTTTATTACGCTCCGAAGCTTCGCTTGTCTCGCCAAATTCGATACTTCCCCGATCGCATCTTGCAGCGCCTATAAATACACATTATCAAACGACAGCTGTCTCCTCGACCATTGTCCTATTTACGGCACAGGACTCCATCCTGAATCAGCAAGCTGTCTCATTGGGCCCAATAGCTTTTCGTGGTTGAACTCATCGCTGAGACGTCGCTCCACTTAGGCTTGGTAGCACGGGCTTTCATCCATTCCAGAATCGGCTTGATGTCCGGATCTTCCTGCTGTGCATGTCGTAGGCTGTCCTTCCACTCGTCGCTGAGGTGGTCTGTCCTGAGCATCCTCACGGATACCACTTCCCTTACTCTCTTGCCTAGTACAATGTTTCGAATCTTCAGGACAAGGTCTTCTTGACAATGCATCTGCGTTGCCATGAGATTTCCCGCTGCGATGTCTGATAGTAAAGTCGTATCCCGGCTGCTGCTGGGCGGTGATGTTAGCCGCACTTCCCTTCTGAGATCGTTCACCTTCCCTTTCTAGGGTTCGCTTAGGGCAGCTGGATCGAAGATGGCCCCTTTCCCCACAGCCATAGCACCTAGGGCTGTATCCTTTATTGTGGTCGCGAACCGTAACTGCTGCAACCTCCCTAGCCCGAGGGGAACGACGATCCTGCCACCGCCAAGCGGTGCCCTTAGCTGCACTACCCTCTCGAGATCGATCAACTCCCCTTTCTATAGTTCGCTTAGGGCAGCTGGAGCGAAGATGGCCCCTTTCCCCACAGCCATAGCACCTCTGTGGTCGCACCCCACCTTCTCCCGGACCCCCACAGCAATAGCACCTAGGCTGTATCCTTTGTTGCGGTCGCGAACTGTAGCTGCTGCAACCTCCCTGACGCGATGGGAACGATGATCCTGTCGCACGGCCTCCACCACCAGTGCATGGGCCAAGTCTTAAGCGTCTCGTGGTGCCCGAGCCTCACAGCAGCTCTGACTTCCAGGTCGCGGATGCCGTCGATGAATGTCTGCACCAGGTTCCCTTCAATGAGCGATATTCTCAACAGAACTGCTAGTCCAAGGCCAGGCATGCTTAGGAGCATCTCGTGTTGTCCCAGCCTCTTCAAGGTGGACGGCCAAACGTAGCAGTAGTTTACTTGGTGTCGGACGTCGGGAAATCTGCGACGAAATTCACGCTGTGCCAACACCTCAGACGAATCATTGCACAAAAAAATGGAAACAGTTATTCCGCTTTCTTGAGGAGTATAGCAACTCATGGCTGTCGACATGTATTTTACATCTGTTTACTTCAAATCTGTTAAAACCGATTTGACATTTGACGCCATTTGCAAAAATTATAGCGTCTTCCAATAGGGTGATTACTTTTGCCTCATCCGTTACAGCATGTTTAGTAAAACTCGTTCAAAGTACAAGTTCGTGTTAAAGTTACGAAGATCCGTGAGTGTAGTAAAAGGCGACAGAGGGAAGCAGACCAGTATATTGGCAGCAGTATCTTCCTAGCAACAACTAAAAATTACAACACTGGTTGACAACCCGCCTGCCAAGCGTGGCAACTATGGCAGATATTATCCTGTGAAGCAATCTATGAAGTTACAGCCCTTCACAAGTCCACTGCTGAACATAGGCCTCCACCAAGGAATGCCACAAAGCACGGTCCTGAGCCACCTGCATCCATCGACTTCCTGCATGACTTACCAGGTCGTCACTCCGTCTAGTGGGGGGTCTCCCTACACTACGCCTACCAGTACGAGGCTGCCACTCGAGAACCTTTTTTTTCCTCATCGGTTGTCGGTTCTTTGAACTATATGGCCGGCCCATTTACACTTCAGCTTGCTAATCGGTTGGGCTATGTCAGTCAATCTGGTTCTACTGCGGATATCCTATCATTTCTAAGTTTATCACGCAGAGAAATCGCGAGCATAGCACTCTCCATAGCTCACTGAGCGACCTTGAGCATCCTCGTTGAAGTGTCCATTAAATAAAAAGTGTACAAAAAGGGTTATTATAAAATATTAAGGAATAGATGAAAGATAATAACTCCTGGGAATTAGGTGATCACTAACATGCTGGTTTTATTATAATTCATGTAAAAAAAAATTACAAAACTATTATATATAAAAAAATCCTTATAACTCCTCCCAATGCAAAGGTATTTTCGAACCAGTGGTAACAAATACTGTCTATAAATGTTTGCCCTCAACTAAACAATACTTCTTAATTATACGGCCGCACTCTCAGCATAGTGTACTCACCGGGGTGCAATACCAGCATAAAAATACTTCTTAAATTTATACGGGTCCTAGACCCACGCTGCTGCTATAGCTATATTAGTTGTAGCTCGACCGGGGTAGGGCCACGCTTTCACAGAATACCAGCATAAAAAGCAACTTAATGATGTTGTGTTTCGTATGGTGAGTGTAGAGAACCGGAGACCCTTTTTACTGGAAACGAGACATTCCATCTTAGTCCTCAAAGGTGACAACGCATCTGGATTTTAAATCTTAATGTTGACAGTGTGCTCGTTTGTCACCCTTATTCAATAAAGACAGAATTATGTTATAATAATCTATACTGAAGTAAAAAATATTGAAATCTATTTTATTCATCAGTGCATTTTGTGGAAGAGGCGAGAGAGGTGTGTCAGGATCGTGCCAAATGGAAGTATGTAGTCTCTGCCTACCTGGTACCTGGGTGACAGGCACGAGTGCTGATGTATGTATGCATTTTTGATTGTTGTAACGATCACCGTTTCACCTACAGGGGTGTATGCATCGCTCTGGCTGTGCTGCTGGTGATAGCGACGGTGTACGACATGCGGCTGGGGCGCGCAGTGCGCAGGAGTAGACGCCGCGCCGCCAACATGGCCGCCGACGCAACTGCCACGGACCTCAAGCTTGACATCAGTACACTCGACGCCATCACACACGCTTCTGGTGCGTTTTTTATACAGTAACCACGCTATCATTACCATCTACAGAGCAATATCATGCCTTATGATTGAATTAATATGTAGGTACTACATACTAGAAAAAACGCTGGTTGTTCACTCAAACATACTTAGTCTATGCCCCCCTTTTTAAGGGCGGCCTAAGCGGGGTGACCACGCGCCCGCACTGTCGCACAGTTTTTCTTCCCATTGCGATACGAGCCCCTCTTCGTTTATCCAACTTCCTAAATTACGGAAAATACTTTTTCTAAAACCACGGGGCAGATACCTACCTTGCCTTTGGGTTAATCCGAACCTGATCGCCTCTCCAAGAATACGCCAGATGACGTGTTTTTCTAGCAGATTTGTCCATACTTATTACTAAATTTTAAAAAACTATCTCCTAGTTTTTCGGATAAAATAGGCTAGATACCTCCTGGCATTGCTCTCTATCTGTTCGTAAAATTAATTTACAATCGGTTTAGACATTCCGAAGATTATTCTAAACAAACAGACCGACAGACAGACGAACAAAAATTTTAGAAATGTTTATGTTTATACGCCCGAAGCAATTAAGGGCAACCCTCCGGTAACGGGGGAGGGATGCAGTGAATGCTCATAGCATACCACGCAGCCGGCTGCGTGGTTATGTGGAGACTTTTACCCATTAAATACTGCCTTTAGGGATTGGCTTACTGATCTGACGAGAGATCTTTAAGCCGTAAACGAACGCGACCTTCATTGGCAAAAAGGAGGGCGCAAGAAGCCAGTTATATTAATATTACATACAGACACTTCAATTCTATTTATTTATTTATTTAGATAGAGAATCAATGCTTTTGTATGCACTTGTTGCAGGCAAATCGATGTACAACGTGAACAACAACATAGCTATCAATAGTAACACGTCTGAAGAGCGCCTCACTGCCGAAACGGCCTCCAACGATGGCGAGATTAAACTAAGTAAGTAATGATGATCCACCAAACGGAATTTCGGTCATGGCGGCCAGATGGAGACCAACCATCTGCGCATGACGGTATTAGTGCACAAGCGTATGTACATTCTCATAGTCCGATGGGACGGTAAACTGACACGACCGGCTGACAGGCTGCTACTAATAATTTCTTGACAGAAATACCCAATAACTAATTTTGGTCCGACCCGGGAATTGAACCTCATGGTCAGCAGGTGCACTTACGACCGAAACTAACGAGACGGTCATACTATAGTAAGTAAAAGTTCATTGTTCATTACAGCCTATAAAAACCTATTGCAAAACGTAAGCCTCCCCTATAGATTGCCTCGTAGGGAAGATCGGGCGGTGGGCGTATGTAAGTAGATACTTGGATAGTGTTATTTTTCCCTCTGTCGTATCTTACGACACTCACGGGACGATAATGGGATAGTGAATATTCTTACACGGCCACTACACGGTGCATTGTGTTTGAAATCAGAATTATTGTAAACGGCTATAAACAAACTAATACCCAATTACTCAAACGCCAGTCAATTTTAAGATGCCTCTAAGTCTCGTGCTGTCTTTATTGTATTAAGTCGACCCGGTCGAAGAAGGAACGCTCTCTTAAATAATGCCAGTGTAACTCAGCGGCTTTATGCTCGTTAGCGAGATCCTTATTGTGGTAACGAGGCACTACATAGTTAGTCCTGAGAGGTGACATCATATGTTTATTTTAATCCTTAATGAAGAATAAGTATAGATATTAGGTGTGTATAGATAGAACTTAGATATGCAACTGCCACAATATAGAAATACTATAATATACAATAGAATGGCTCTCAACTTTATTTTGTACGAGAACTGCCGTCGCCAAACCCGATTTGCTGTGTTGTGTTGACAGACTGAGTAAATTTACACATTTTAGACTTTTGATTAATGTTCAAGATCATCATTAAAAAATCGTTTATATTTTAATACATATTTATTTGTATTATATAAAAATGAATACTTGTTTCTTCGTAGTTTATGCTCTGCCATACCGTTTATCAGATTCCGCTAAAACTTCGTCAATTTATTGTTTGTACTTGCGCGAAGGTTATAACCATATTACAATTACACGCGTATTGTATTAACAAATCTATTAAAAAGTTATACCAATATCATTCAACGTCATTGAATGTGTTCTCATTCCTAAATAAACAATATAAGTCTTCTATTTCCACAAATGTGTCTTCTGCGAATGCAGCGTGCCGGATACCAGCTAGTTGGATTATTGGATTACAAAAGTTTAAAATTTTACCTAGTGTAGCGGCGCTGTCGTCGCGCCACTAGCACACCGAAACACACCGAAGCCTAAATTGCGCTATTAACATTCTGAATCATAGACAGTATATATAGAACTTCTCCGAAATATCACTTGGAGTGTGAGCCGCTCCCCAGGCAGAACAGGAGTTTCGGCCGCTCCCCGGGCACAACACCTTGCCCGGCGGGAGATCTCCCCTTTTCCTTCCACGGCCACAGTGGTGACCCCGACGTGATCTGAACACGCAACCAAAACAACCTTCGGAAACTTCAAGCTTCATCATCGTCATATAATACCCCACCGTATCACTCCCGAGCAGATATCGTCTGCAGTCTTCATATCCTGCAAGCCATCTAGCTTCACAAGGTGCATCGCAGCACTGGAATAATAATGCTTCCTGGTCCTTCAAGCTACTCTCTGCGCTATACAGTGTTCGGCACGGCTCTGAGCCTTACTGCTCGCCTCTGCCTCACGGCACTCTCGCAGATTACTTGCCTTCTTCTCGACTCACCGCAGACTACAAGGCAATCTCCTGGCACTTGCACATTCATCGACAACGAGACTGCACTATCGGCCTCCGGTCTGAGCAGGGGGTGATGTAGCGGCGCTGTCGTCGCGCCACTAGCACACCGAAACACACCGAAGCCTAAATTGCGCTATTAACATTCTGAATCATAGACAGTATATATAGAACTTCTCCGAAATATCACTTGGAGTGTGAGCCGCTCCCCAGGCAGAACAGGAGTTTCGGCCGCTCCCCGGGCACAACACCTTGCCCGGCGGGAGATCTCCCCTTTTCCTTCCACGGCCACACTAGTAATTTTTTGGCCAGATTTAGCAAATAATAATAAACAGCATTTGTCTGTCACAGGTACTATAATAGTTTTTATTCTGAAATCTAGTCTTAAAAAATTAAAACTTTTAGTAAAAGTCGGCTGCATCCAGATAAGAGGAAAGCATACACATATCATCCACATGTGTGTGTGACTGTGCAGTTTGTCACCTTTCCTTGAATTAAAAAAAACAGGTGAGCAGTCCACACACGGTAGAAGTGAAACCTTCAGAAAAGAAGACAGAGATAATTGGAAACACTGTATACTGTATTCTATCTCATTTTCTCGCAGGCTAAATCCTATAGATGTATTTTGTCGCTTTTTCGTTTCATCGAGTTTAAAAACACAACGATTCTAAGGCCCGCCACATACATACGGAATTCCGTATGTATGTTGCGAGCCTAAAGAAGATTTCGATTAAAAAATCTGTACATAATGAAATGAGTGCAATTCACCATGTATAGCACTCATTTCATCATGTACATCATGTAAATGTTGAGACTCTTGGATTATTTTACCTCATCACTCTGTCGCTCGAGGCTTGTTCATCAATTAAAAGGATGCAATGCTTAAGATGAGAAATTAGAATTTGGAGAAATGTTCTTATATTCCCTCGTACACAAAAAAAGTTTAATTAAATTTTTTTCTATGAGGTGTGTGGTCGGAGTTACTGCTGTCGTTCTCGATGAAGGCGAACGTGCTGCAGATCTTCGACCAGTCGGTGGGCGCGGACACGGTGCCCGTGGTGCACGGCCTGCGCTCGCTCTCCATGATCTGGGTCATATTCGGACACACCTGCATCGTCGTCTTCAAGGTACGCCCAAACTTAAAACTCGTGTTAAATAATGAAATATTTAAAGTATAAAAACCACCAAATTTTTGAGGTATCATCTTCGTAGCGACGCTTGGTATGCGTAGATCTCGATACCAGAAGTTACACACCTTTACATCTGACGTAAGCATTCCACCACCATCTATCGGAAAACCATAAGATAGTTCTGACCCCTCCTATAGTCGCTTTTTACTACACCCACGGTACAAAATAAGGTCACGGATAGTGACATATTACGCCGAAATCGAAGGGCTTTTAATATATTTCATTATTTTTAATAATTAAATTAAATTGTCCTCCTGCAAACCGAATTTCGGCCACGGTGACTAATTTTTACGGAGACTATCCATCTGCGCTGGACAGGATTATAGTGCACTCTCTATTCCCTCACTCTCATAGTTCGGTGGAACGGCATACCGACACGACTGCAGAGAGATCAGGCGGAGGTCCAACGGCTCTACGCATTTTCCGAGGACGTAGAATTTTGTGACAGAAAAACCCAATGTCTGGTTTTTGCCTGACCTAGGATTCGAACCCGGAACCTCATGATGAGAGATCGCTTTTCGACCACTAGACCAACGAAGTAGTCAAATAAATCAAATAGTATTATTTTAGTATCATTAATTTTATTGCGCTCTTAAAGAAGGAATTTTATTTCCATGCGACCTCATCTGCCGAGTAGTCATTCATCGTCCTACTAGTAAAGTAGCATAACCCTATTTTCGGGATTTCTTAATTAATTTCAGTACGCAGACAACACAGCACTGAGAGCAATCCTGGAGAAAAGTTTCTGGTTCCAACTCATCATAAGCGCGGTTTACAGCGTCGACACTTTCTTCTGTCTTGGGTGAGTGTCCCTTTAGAGAAGTCTCTTGCGTAATATTTTATAACATCTTAAGCGTTGGCGGCACTTTCGTCGCACCACAAGTGAAACGCATCGAAGCCTAAATCACGCTATCAAAGTTCCGAAGAACTGCGGTATATATATAGCTCTGAGCTACCATACGAAGCGTTGACCGCTCCCCGGGCTGATCACCTTGTCGGATGGACCTTGTGAGATCTCCCCGTTTCCTTTCACGGCCGAAGGTATTAGAGAGAAACTAAAACAGGAGATGGGCAGAACGGCATCTTCCATATATAACAACTTATCAAATATAAACTTAAAGAATAAGTAAAAATATTTGGAAGATTCCGTTCTTCCTGATAATAAACAAAAAAAATACACTGTGGTTGCCAACAAGCTTGCGAATCGTGGTAACTATGGCAAATATCTCCCTATGAGGCAGTCTGTAGGGGCGGCCTTTGTAGTAGCATGGCAATTTCGTATAACTTTACCATTACAAGTCCACTAACTTAAGTCGAAAAATAATTAACTATCATTGCTGATAGATAATCTATTTTGCATCTTGACGAAGTTCATAAGTCTTTAAAATATATTTAATTCAAGTTTCCTCATGCTGTTTTCCTTCACTGTCAAGCCTATGGTAAATCAGCATTTAAAATTGCAATAAATAACTTCATAATTTACATTATCTCGGTTCCATTGAAAATTAGATTTTTTTATAGTATAAAGGTGACAAAAAAGCACACAGTCTTCATGGTAAGTGGAAAAGTGCGGCAATACTACACGTCGGGCCTATTACTTTATATAAAGCGCAAGTCCGGTCGTGCATGGAGTATTGCTGCCATATATGGACTGGTGCTGCAAGATGCCACCTAGTAGCTTGAATTCAATGGAAAGGCGTGCTAAGAGGCTTATTGATGGCCCAATTTGGTCAAAACTAATCTTATCAGCCTCGAACACAGGCGCAAAGAAGCTAGCCTTTCGGTTCTCTACAGGATGCATTTCGGAGAGTGTGCGCAGGAATTGCATAATTTACTTCCCTCTCCCTTCCACCATCGGACAATCAGACGTTCGGCCACTCTCCACCCTTTCGCTGTTGACTTACCACGCATTCGAACCAAACGGTTTGCTACGTCGTTCGTCATGCGTACAGCAAAGCAGTGGAATAAGTTGCCAGCATCTGTCTTTCCATCCGATTACATTTTTTAAGTCAGTGCGCTTCACCATCTTAGGCTACATCACCACTTACCATCAGGTGGGATTGTACGAGTAGTTAAGAGCTGGTTTAGAATAATAAATAAAAACTATAGACACCTATTTGATCCTCAATTAAGAATCAAAATGCAGAGACGTTGTCACCCCTGAGGACTAAGATGGAATGCCCCGTTTCCAATAAAAAGGGTCTCAGATTCTTTACACTCACCCTACGGAACGAAGCACTTTACGTTGGTATTCTCTGAGAGCGTGGTTCTACCCTAATTGAGGCGAACCATTCGTGCTACAACCATAATAATATAAACTCTGTCTATACTAACAATTTTAACTATTACAGTGGCATGCTCGTGTCATTCCTGTACTTCCGCACCAACGCTAATGGCAAACTGGACTTATTGACGAAAGGACGAAGGACTATAACCTCCGGGGTGCTGCAGTTTCTCGGACTCATCGGCTACAGATTTGCCAGGTAAGTAGTAATTGCATGAAATCAATCACTATAATGAACTGTCTTCAAACACCACTCTAGTAAGACGATAACTAACTAAACATGACAATAACTCATCCCGCTGCCCTTTTACAATACAAATTTTATTTAATTCCAAATGCAGAGTGAACACACAATTTTTGTAGTTTATTTATTTATTTTAATTTGCATATCACAAGGAATATTATACTTAACTCATACAATATGATCAAGTGACGCCTCGCATTGTAATGTAAAAGAGTTTATTGATTCGTCATTTTGAGACTTAATAGTTATTGTTTATTTGTTTGCCTGTAAGCCGTTGCGGTGTAGTTAAGCAAGCTTGACTCGTGGGTACCAACAACAAAGCTTACCAGTAAGGCTCGGTTTATATTTTGGGAAGTGACAAGTGCGAGTGACAATGCAACTGACAAATGACAAGTGCTTAGGGCGTGTGAACAGACAGTGACAATTGATAAGTGTGAATTAGATGCGCACTAAGCACTTGTCATTTGTCAGTTGCACTTGCCACTCGCACTTGTCATTTCTCAAAATGTAAACCGGGCCTAATATTGCATGTGAATAGGCAGTGACAAGTGATAAGTGTGAATAAAATGCACACTAAGCACTTGTCATTTGTCAGTTGCACTTGCCACTCGCACTTGTCATTTCTCAAAATGTAAACCGGGCCTAATATTGCATGTGAACAGGCAGTGACAAGTGATAAGTGTGAATAAAATGCACAGTAAGCACTTGTCATTTGTCACTTGCACTTGCCACTCGCACTTGTCACTTCTCAAAATGTATACCGGGCCTAAGGATATTGCATTGAAGGCAGTGACAAGAAGTGTGAAAAAATGCGCACTGGCACTGCATTTGTCAGCTGCAGTTGCCACTCGCACTTGTCACTTCTCAAAATGTAAACCGGGCCTAATATTGCATGTGAACATGCAGTGACAATTGATAAGTGTGAATAAAATGCGCACTAGGCACTTGTCATTTGTCAGCTGCAGTTGCCACTCGCACTTGTCACTTCTCAAAATGTAAACCGGGCCTAATACTGCATGTGAACAGGCAGTAACAAGTGATAAGTTTGAATAAAATACGCACTAAGCACTTTGAAAATATTAACAGACCTTATAGTTGTATATAATTTAAAATACGATATAGATTGACGGCTCCGTACCTGTTCATGCTCGGCGTTGTGGAGGTGACGATGAAATGGTTTGCGCACAACGCGGTGTTCGAGCCGCCGGCGCCTGATCACGTGACCTGTCCGCAGTACTGGTGGCGCAACCTGCTGTACATCAACACACTCTTCCCCGTCGAGCAGATGGTGAGTACACACACATGATTGTAAACTGTTATTTGTTTTAAAAAAAAATAGATCCGTTGGGTTTCTTACTAATTATTCCCAGAACAGAGGTTTTTTCCGTACCAGTAGGTAAACTAAACATAAGAATGACTTTTAGAAAGTATTATTTATAATCTATAGTGAATAAAAAAACTTTTTTTCTCACTACAAATCTTTGTATGAAATCTGAAAAATTTGCACGCAATCATAATTTTGTCTTGTTTGGGTTAGGCGTCTAAAAATAAGGCGAGAAAAATATATCGTTGTTTCTTTCCTTCGCGTGGTATCAGACTGCCATTTTAAAAATTAGCTACAAGAATGCATATTATAACAGAAGAAACTGAAGACGTTAATTCTGTGTTAATTTTTTTTTTTTGGTTGCTGCTTAGACATACATATTACTCCGAGATTTTACTACTATTAATTATTTAAAATTAAATTATTAAATATTAGAAGAATACTATCAAAAGAAGCCATGAATTAAAAGAAAAAAATGACATTTGTTTCTTAACTTCTTTCATATTAAAAATATTTTCTGAAATTTATTCAAATTTTTTTCACAATATTTATTATTTCTTTTTGCTTAAATTCTGTTATTATCGATTCAAAATACTTTATTATCGTTTGTAGACATTTCCTCGCGATTGTGTATGTAAAGATTTTTTGTGAAATGTTGACTCCGTATAAGACGTTGACTATAAATTAATTCTTTTATAATTTTATGCACGATGTGTGATCAGAATCGAAAGTTAGCTAAGTGTTGTGCAAAATTGTACCAAAATTACTCTCATTTGCCTTAAATAAACAAAATTTTTAAAAGTTACAGAATAAAAAGGTTTGAATTACTCGCGAAAAAAGTTTCATATGGACGCTCACTGTGGCGCTATTAGTATACAATCGTAGACGCGTGTTACATTTCTTTAGTTTGTAGCATTGAGCTATAATGTGCTACGTACTAGAGGGGATACTGCATTCAGCTACTCTGTTCCACTCAACTGCGGTGCATACACCGCACTTCAATCAGTCACTCGCTAGGCGCTTGTAGAGTTGACACGTGTTGTGTTGATTTAAAAAATCTCGTGATAAAAATATGTCGAGGTGCGTACTTAGATATTGCACAAATAACTCAAGAAATGTCAGTAAAAACCAAGAAATTACTCATCATTGGTTAATAAGATACTTAATCAATAAAAAGTAATTCCTAAGACGCCATCTGGTGTCACGTAATATAGATTATGAAATCAATTTGTTCAGATGCGACATTTCTGTGGGTACTTAAGTATAGGACGAATATATTATTATACACATATTTTTTTGTAGAAACGTATGAGTTATCATAATTAGGCCAAATTTTTTATATTTAAATCTGCTAATTATTCTATTATATATTTTATTTTTAGGTTTCCACATCAAAGTCAAAGTGGAATAAATTCGTCAATTTTTAACTTTCGTGCCCAGTATTTATAAACGATTCTTATTCTAATTTAAATAAATATATTTGTAATTTAAATGTTATATTAACAAGTTTTGTTAAACATACATTTAGTATGTTTTTTTTTTTGATATTTGAGATAGATAACTTTTAAAATATTGAGATAAAAATATCATTAAAATGTAGTTGTGATATAATATTATGTAATATTATATTAAATAAGCAAATGTAATATACAAAATAAATGACAAAATTTAAAAAATTGTTCTCGAATAATTTACCTATTTAACAGTGCAATCTATTATTACCTACTGATCATTCTACCTATGTTTATTCTATGATAAAAAAACACAAACAGAGTAGCGCACATTTTTTGTTTGAAATAGCTATTCTAGTACGTAAGTACATATTACTTCAATGGTTTGTAGACAGCATTCTTCTCCCGATAGAGATTTATTGTGTTCTGTGCACTACAAGAACTTGAAGAAAGCGTTATGGATTCTAAGTTTCTCTTGTGTTATGTAAAATTTAAAATTATTACAAATAATTATTTTGTAACTGCAAAAAAATTTCTTTTTTCTGTTTTTTTTTTCTACTTTATTTTGAACGAAGAAAGCTTTATTAATTGTTATGTCAGGTTTTCAAAATAATAAAAATAATTATTTCTTGTTCTTATTATTCTCATCAAATTTGTTTTTGTATTGTTTTTAGCTGCGGAAATAGTTTACTTTTCTGACTTTTTCAACTATTTTCTGAAGAAACAAAGAAAGGAACTTTATTTTGACACAGATCATTGACGCACACAACAATAATACGTGTATTTAATAAATTGAACTTTGCGCATCAAAGGCATACCAAAAAGGAACATCGTTGCATGCAGCATGTATTGTGGTGAAACCCGAATACTGATTTTAAGTGGTGATTGAAAATCCTGGGGAATACAGTCCCGAGAATAAATTAATATAGAAAGTCAAACAAAATGTATATGTAATGCGTAGCCGTCATAGAGAATAGAATAGAATCAATTTTATTCAATATATATTAAAAGTATACCTATTGAAGGTAATTTAACCACTAGTTTAGAAAATACCTCTGTCCTGGAAAGAATCAGCAGGAAACTCAACGGGGCTTTTAATAAAATATAATTAACAATGTAATATTTCATACAATTAGCATAAAACATTTATAAACAGCGTGGTAGTGATCACCTGATTCTGAGGGGTGATTATTAATCATGTACTCTTCAGTACTATGATAACATACTAAATAAGATTTTCCTAATAAAAAATTTATACTTTTTAATAGATAAGTCCTACACGTCTTTACTTTCCTCAAAACAAACAAGGAAAAAGACAAAAATAATTTCTGAGCAGAATAGCATAAGTTTTTACACCAACTGATCAAATAAACGTAATGTTACATATTTATTTATTGTTATTTTAGTGTATGCTTTGGAGTTGGTATTTATCCGATGACACACAGTTCTACGCAGTGAGCGCTATACTACTCATTTTGGCGACGAGGTAAGTTTCGGACCTTCAAAGTTTCTTAATTGCTGTTGATTACAAGACAAAATATTAAGTCGTCACTCCATTTAGTGGGAGACCGCCTTACACAAGAACTTTTGGTCCCCGTCGGTGATCGATTCTTCGAGCTAGGTATATGGCCGGCTCTTTGCTACTTCAGATTACTAATCCGTAAAGAAATTGACCAACGGATTTGACATTGTAAATGCTATTATTTCAAAACGAAACAATAATGTCTGTATTGATTAAAACTACTTTTACGGATTTTGTCGCGTTTAATTTTACTTTTAATTATTTTTATTTTTAATTCCTGACGTTTAGGGTGCTTTCCAGCACCCATGGTCACGGGGGACTGAGGTGACTGACGTCCCGATGTCATTGTTAAACCCGCAGTACCTTCAGCTTTTTTAATTATTGTTTATGGTCCAATCTATGCAAAATGAACTGATTATGTCCTGAGGTCTTGCAGTGGTATGCTTGGGTTTAGTTTTAATTTTATTGATTATAGGATCCCAAGCAGGGAGTAACACCCAGCCTCCCTCCTTATTGAAATAAGTTTAATTATAATCCTTGGTAGGAATCGGTGTTCTTTCGCGAGGATTTGTGGTCTATCAAATCTGATGTAATGGTTGGGGCCGTCTAGGATCTGAAAAAACAGACTCCGTTGCCGGAACGTTGATATGAAGCATCGTCGTCGAAACGTCGGGAATTATAAATAAAAATAAATAAAAGTAAAATCAAACGCGATAAAATCCGTAAAAGTAGTTTTAATCAATGTGTAGTGTTCGCGTAATTATAAGAAATCATTAAATAATGGGTGCGTTTGGCAGAAAAAAGCGCTAGCAAGCGCTTATAAGCGCTGAAATAGTTTTCGGCCAGGACACGATTGCAACTTCGGTAGCGCTGACACAATCCGCCATTTTGCTTATTTAATTTTGTTTGTTTTGAAGTAGAGTTTATAAGTTGTTTTGTGCAATATTAGTTTTAAGTAATATAATGACATGAATAAACATATACATGTTATTAAAATTCATGATTGGTAAGATTTTAATATGAATACTTTACAAACATATATTTAAATTAGGTTAGGTTTCCCGGTTAAAACTAACATCGTGTCCTGGAGGAAAATAGCTACTTACGATATGACAGCGCTTACCGCTTACGATCGCCATTTTGCTTACAAGCGCTTGCTAGCGCTTTTTTCTGCCAAACGCACCCAATGTCTGTATTCATCCACACACTATTTTTATTGTAGGTATTTAAATATTAGTGACATTCGAGGTGACAATCCGGTGTGTGACTACTCTAGCCCATGGATACCTTAACTACAAAGAAAGAAAATCACAGATGCATTGTCACCTCTTAGGACTAAAATGGAATGCGCTTTCAGCCTGTTTATTACAAGGGCTGTTCTGTGCTGCTTTTGGCAGAAATAAATAAGTGTGTTATCAACCTAGACGAATTCCTAAGCAGTAAAAATCCCTACTATATAGTAAATATTTTTAAATTTCCTAAAAATTTAAAGTATAAATAAGCTTTAAAAAAATTAAAAACCGACTTCAAAAAACTATAAAGAATAAAATACATAAACTTTTGAAAGAGGAGCTAAGACAAAGTGTATCGACGAACTAAAGCCTCGTCTTCATAAGTTATTGCGTAAATAATTTTATTTATTTATAGTTTTTTAACCGACTTTCAATTCGACTATATGTTTTTTATGTGTGTTACCTCATAACTTTTCTCTGGGTGAACCGATATTGACGATTTTTTTATTTGAAAGCTGGTACTTTTCATGTGGTCGCATATAAATCAAGACTTGACCAGTATTTTTCAAGTTATTTTTAATAATGCGTATTTAATTGACTTCGACTACATTGATGATGTTCTCATTTTATTTATATTGAAGTTAGTTGTACAAAACGTTTAATTTTATCACTTGTTTGAATTCATGGTTTATTTTTCAAAGTTTAATTATTTGACCCTTTTGACTCGACTAGCGCAATATCACAAGATCAAGGAAGCAACTAAAATATTATCATACAATTACATTACGTTATTTATTTATTTATTCTTTTTTGTACACCACAATACAGAAACATCAATATAGTTAAAACTAATTAAAGTATGTACAATAGGCGGTCTTATCACTGAAAGTGATTTCTTCCAGACAACTTTTGCGTAGTGGAACGTTGCAAACAAAAGTTACAAATAGAGGGGGGGCATACAAAATAATAATAATAAAAAAATACATAATACATACAAATAAAAATAAGTGAAAGTTATATATAAAATATCATATAATAGATTAAATGAAAAGAGTACGAGAAAGGTAAAGTATTTTATCTAATAGCGTTCTAAATAATACGATTTAACAAGAATTTTGAAAGAGTGAAGAGATTTAGCACGACGAATATGGAGAGGTAAGGAGTTCCACAATCGCACAGCGGTTACGGTGAAGGATTTCTTGAAAAAGGAAGAAGAGTGCAAAGGTGTAGAGAGAGAAAGATTGACGGAGGATCGAAGGAGCCGATTATGGGTAAGAGAAAGATACAAAAAGAAGGATTAAATAGCACACTATACAACGCGGAGAGAATGTGAATATTTCTGCGAAGGCGGATCGGGAGCCATTTGAGCTGTTTGCGAAATTCGGAGATATGATCATATTTGCGAAGCCCAAATATAAATCTAATGCATAAATTTTGAATGCGCTCAAGCTTATTAAGCTGCTCTTCGGTAATGTCAAGATAGCAAATATCAGCATAGTCAAGGATAGGCAGAAGTAGAGACTGGGCGAGCGTAACTTTAGTTGCTGTGGGAAGAAAATTACGTAATCTACGTAAAGAGCTTAACGCAGCAAACATTTTTCTACTGACCTCATTAACCTGTGAGGTCCAAGACATACAAGAGTCAAGATAATACAATATATAAGGAAACTAAACTGTTGAACATTACTCAACTTTATACATATAGCACATGCATACTAATATATAAAATAAAACATAAATTAATCCACACACAACTCACGTTTTTAACAAAGAAGCAAACAAACAAATACATAACACGCCGAGCTAGTCACCTTGTATTGCCACCTATAAGAACAAACTATGGTAAAAATAATATAACGTATTTAAAGGAGCACAGTTATACAACAAACTACCTAAATTTGTAAAGGAGGCGAAATCTTTGAATGTTTTCAAACGGAAGTTACTTGCCTACCTATATTTACAACAGCTAAATACCTAACCTTAATCATTATTAAATTAAAAAAAATACATTATTAAACTCCCACCTTATAGTTTGAATAAACAACAAAGATATTCGCTTCTCTATGAAAGTTATTTATACCCGCACTAAAATTGTTATTACTAAGTTATTGTTCCCATGTAAGTGACTATTGTCTTATTGAGAAATAAAGATCTTTAAACCGAAGATACAACCCCAGGTTTTTAACCTTGTTACTGTATGGGATTAGAGTGCAGTCTAGTATAATAGGGGGTAGGGAAGACCAGTCAATTTTACCAATTAATCTAGAACTGCCGATGACAATGGCCTGAGTTTTCTTAGGATTAATCGTTAAACCATAACATTTACTCCAATTCGAAATACAATTCAGATCAGCGTTAATAGTGTCAACTGCTTTAGATAGGTCTTCAAGAGAGGACTGAGTATAGATTTGGAGATAATCAGCATACAAATGGTAGGAAGAGGACAAATTATGACTTATAGAGTTAATGAATTAAAAAGGAGAGGAGACAACACGCCACCTTGTGGTACACCAGCAGCTGTAGTAGTCCAGCTGGAAAAAAACCTCTTGCACCTGAATTCGCTGTCGGCGACCAAACAAGTAACTTCGAAACCAGTCAACTACAGTTGGAGATATGTTAAGAGAGCATAGGATGCTTAACAAGATATCAAAATCTACAGTATTAAATGCGTTACTAAAATCAAGCAACGTGAGAATGGTAAGCTTTTGTTTCTCAATACCATACCGAATATCATCAGTGATTTGTAAAAGTGCAGTCGTACTATGGCCAGGACGGAAACCGGACTGCAAGGGATTTAAAAGATTGTGTTTTAAAAGATAGGTGCTTAATTGCTTGTGCACAAGACGTTCTAGTACTTTGGAAAAGAAAGGCAAAATAGAGATACGTCTATAATCAGAAAAACTAGAGGGATTTGACTTTTTCGGAAGAGGAACTACAAATGCGTCTTTCCAAGCTGAAGGGTAAAAAGCAGAATTCAGTGAATTATTCAGGATAGAAGTGATTATAGGTAAAAGGAGATCAATGAGAGGGATGACCATTTTCCGACTAATGCAGTCACTACCAATCGAATTTGAATGGATGGACATTATGGCTCTCTTAACAACACAACTGTTAAATTGGCTAAAATTAAAAGCAGAGGTGTCCGGAGTGGGAGCTTTTGAAAGAGAGTCCAAAGTATTATGTTTCGCTTTATCGTTAATGCAAGACGAAGATGAGAAATGCAAATTAAGTTGATTGAGATCAAAGTGGTACGTTACATTACATTAAAAACATTTCGATTCCTTTTTTTAACAACCTTTTCAAAAAATCACCCAAGAGGTATAGCTAGCTTATTTAATAAAAAAGATCATTGAAATTAGTTAATAATTTTTAAAAGATATCTCGTAACGCATACAAAAGTCGGCTTTATAGAATATTGTAATCTACCCTCAAAACACTTATTTGCTACTGGCGACACTTTATTCGTAAAGTTTCATTACAATCGGTTCGGTTGTTTCGAAGATTAACCCGAACACAGAGAGACAGATTTTTTTAAATGTTTATCAATGCATAAAGCCTTGATAGCGTGCAAATAACTTCCTGAGCTTAAAAGAAGCCAGTTGTTTCTATATTACAGACAAAAACTTCAATTTATTTATATGTATTTTTCTTATTTCACAGTCACTTTAAAGTGTCGGTTATTTTGACGGGCGTGTTCTTCCTGTCGTCTCTGGTGACGACGGGATACGTGTCGTGGAGCAGCGAGCACGTTCCCAGCGGGGAAGATCCCTTCACTCAGTTCGATAAAATCTACGATAAGCCCTGGACGAGACTGGGGCCCTACCTCGTTGGCATGGCCACTGGATGGATACTATTCAAGACTAACTTAAAGATTAAAATGAATAGAGTAAGTAACTTGACTTGTTTATCAAAATCATCATCACTCATACGTGGTAGAACCATGCTGCAATTATATTAGTAGTAGAGTTGTAGCAAAAAAGGGAAGGACCACGCACTCACAGAATACCAGCGTCATATAGTAGCTTAATGCTGCTGTATTTCGTATAGTGAGTGTACAGATACGGGGACCCTTTTTACTGGAAACGAGGCATACCATGTTAATCCCCAAGGGTGACAACGCACTCATTTAGATTTTAGTTTATTTTATTCTTAATCGAAGATAGATGTAGACATCTATGGGCCACTGCATCCACTTACCACTTACGAAACACAGCAGTTTCGTATCCAGACACCCTTTTTACTGGGAACGAGGCATTCCATCTTAGTCCCCACGAGTGACAACGCATGTGCATTTTGATTCGTAATCGAGGATAGATGTAGATGTCTATGGACCACAGCATCCGCTTACCATCAGGTGGACTGTGTGCTCGTTTGTTACCCTTATTCTATAAAAAAAATACTTAAATAGACTCACTTGAAAATATTTATTTATTTATTATTTATTTGGAAAACTTACAGCTAATTTACAAAAATAATATAATTATAACAAAAATGAAGGCCATTTATAAGTTTTCACTTATATACTACTTTATATTAAACAAGATTGTGTCAAAACAGATATGTACAAGTATATGGCAAGTAACAGAACACTATCGAGAAGAAAAGAAATTGAAAAAAAGAAATATATTATCACTGTGTCATCTTCGTCATCATCATCATTATTGCCGCCTACTATCAATGTTCACTGCTGAACCTCATCATAAAGGGAATTTCCCACACTTGGCAAGAGGATTATTAACGACAGTTTTTATTACTGTATAAGGCTTTAAATACTCCCTTATATGGAGTGTATAGACTAGGCTAGGTCTGGACCATTAATTTAATTCCCGAACTGAACAAATATGATCCTACAATTATTGCGGACATAAATGTTTGTCTGTGATCAAATATTGTCTATTATACTCCACGATACAGAACACATTGTTGCACTGAGATAAGATTCGCGCTGAAGGCCACGGATTCGAATTCCGAACGGAATAAATATTTGTAAGGCCTACAAATAATTGATCCGGATCTAATTGTAGTATTGTTTTGAAGCAAATTTAAGGACGTATTCAAGTCAAAAATTTATTTGTTCCAGATATGGGCGTACGTGGGGTGGGCTGTGTGCACGGGGACGCTGCTGTTTTTGATCTTCGGGCTGTACAGCACGCAGCTGAACGTGGCCGCGGCTGCTGTGTACAGCGCGCTGTCGCACTCGCTGTGGGCCGCCTGCATCGGCTGGATCATCATCGCGTGCTCCACGGGACACGGCGGTAAGACTACGGCCTTTTTAACACGCAAACTCCCCATCTGCCTCGGAAAACACGTAATGCCATTGGTTCTGCCAGACCTCTCTTCGGTCGTATCGGCTCATCGTCCCATCGGACTATTAGAGTGAGGGAATAGAGAAGTGCAACTGTGCTTGCGTATACACTTGGGCATTGTACTATAATCGTGTCTTATGCCGATGGCTAGACTCCGTTAAGTCTGACCGCTGTGATCGAAATTCGGTCTGGAGGACATTTATGATCCAAAGAGAGATATATGTTATTAAAACATTTTTTTCTTCCAATAATCTTTGCAAGCTATATATACGTAGAACTAAAGACTAATGAATAAAGTTTTAATGTTAGTTATATTATCCAACGCATACGTTGAAGTATATATATATATATATATATATATATATATATATATACTTATCAATTATAATCATTAGCGACCAACCATAAATTGAGCGTATAATGGGTGATTTTTTTTTAAAGAATAAGGGTGACAATTGTGCACACAGTCCACCTGATGGTAAGTGGATGCTATGGTCCATAAACATCTACATTTATCCTCGATTAAGAATCAAAGTGCAGATGCGTCACCCCTGAGGACTAAGATGGAATAGCTCGTTTCCGGTAAAAAAGGATCTCCGGATCTCTGCAGTCACAATACGAAACGCAGCAGTATTAAGCTTCAACTTTGCGCTGGTATTTTGAGAGCGCGTGGTCCCTCCCCGGTCGAGCCGACCCATTCGTGCTACAATCGTAATATAGCTGCAGCGTGGTTTTACTATATATGACGTATTTTATTGACCGATGCCAGTACAGTGTTTATTGTTTTTGGCAGGCTGGGTGCATCCGCTGCTCTCCGCGCCGATCATGTACCCGTTCTCGCGCGTGACGTACTGCGCGTACCTGGTGCACCCAGTGGTGCTGCGCTACGTGGCCATGCACCTCACGCATCCCATACACCTGGGCGAGCTGCTCGTTGTGAGTACACCGCCTCATTAATACTTCAATAATAATACTTTTTCTTCATCATCGTTGCAGCCCTTCACAGATCCTCTGCTGAACTTTGGATACAGTACTGCATGTCTCTACTACGTAAAAAACCTGTTAAAATCCTTCTAACAAAGAAGTATTTCATTCATACATACTCTCCCCTGAGGACTAAGACTGAATACAGATTATAATTTTACTATGTTGATCTTGATAGACCGCAGTAGCTGTACTGATGCTTGACAACACAGAAAGGTAACATAGTTGTATATCATGTCTCGGCAGATATGATACGTCATTATCAAACAGCGGCATCTGTTCGCAAATGCTTACTGGCTTGTGAAATCATTAGTCTATAAAAGTCCACTGCTGAACAAAGGCCTCCTCCATAGATTGCCTAATAGGGGGGTGGGGCATTTTGCCATAGTTGCGGGTTGGTAACCAAAGTATTTTTCTTTTACGCCACTACCAAATTATAATTCAATGGCTGTTCGATTCCAGTTCGTACTGTTCCTGGGCTTGACTGTGATGTCTTACTTCTTCGCTTTCTTGATCTCCATCGCTTTCGAGGCGCCCATCGTCACTATGCTCAAGATTCTTTCTCCGCAGAAGAAACCTCACAGAGTCTGAACTAAACTAGTTTTATTTGTAAGTATTCGCCAATAGATGGCAATGGCAAAAAGACTTCTACAATTGCTAAACACTTTTTACATTGAATATGGAAAACCGGTTTTTACTTTTGTGAGAAGAAATAAATCACGAAATATGAATTTTGATATTCTCGGCTCAAATTTCATAACAAATGGAGTTTTAAGGATTGAAACAAAGGGTTCTTATTTCATATGTGTTTATAAGAAAAAAGAATATGCGCCAAACATCCTCTGAATTTAACCAAAAAACAAAATTACTAAATTGTGGAAAACATCGCTTATTTACGTGACGATTTTGACAGTTTTCCCTATAACTTAAATGTTTTTTTGAGGAAGGTTTCAATATATTATATATGCAATATCGTAATGTAGGTATAGAAATGTCAAAAGAGAAATATGTATATTTTGTGATGTTGCAGAAACCTTTTATCAAACTGTATATTATAAGTAATACATTTTAGTCAATTGATATAAGCAGAGAAACTTAATAATGGCGCAAATACATATTCTCAGAAATGTGATAGATACTAAATCACTGTGTAACTGATGTGACCTGAGGATAGAAATTGGACGCTTCGGTATTGTATACACCACGTTGATTGTAAATCTCACCCATGCATAGCCTGGCGGGTATTCAATATCAGAGATTTTAAACATACATATTTTTAAATATATGAAGAATGATGTTGGAAACTATATAAAATAATAACTAAGAGTAAAAACATATATACGGTTTAGATTTAGAATGAGAAAATAAGGGAATTAGTTGCTCTCTGTAACACGCACGCATAGTAGTTAATTTTCTTAGTACAGCTAAATATTCTATTAGCTGGAAAGAATAAAAATGTTTTCGAATGAGTTTCCAACGTTATGTATGATTGTGTTCGACAATTTATCATGTAGCCAGTAAGAGGCGAGTTTGTTTAAGCAATGTATGATTCGATATCTTATTAGTTTTAAGTGATTGTAAAAATGTGTTACATATTATATAAAAATTAAGAAGCAACTTATAAATAAGACTTGATTATGCTATATAGGTGTTCCGATATACGCTGTGACCACTGTAAAGTGTGACATCAATTCAGTATACTGTGAAGCCCTTCCTTTTCACTTTGTTATACTGGTTACTAGTAGTCCAGTAACTTAATGTCTGAGTTTATTTGAATACCAATATTAATTAATAATAATAACAATCATTCGTGGAAGCTGTTAAATCTCTAGGCACTGTTATGTTTTTTGATCACGTGATCAAAGTACTGAGGGCACCTTACATCGAAAGCGCCCAGTGCTCACAATACAAAAATGGCTGAGATTTATGACGTCATGTATTTAACCTACCTACCCTAGGGTACTGCGGCAGTATACTAGCAGTCCATAACGGAACGAATTTTTCACCAGTGAAAGCACTGAACAGTGCTCGTAGTGTATATCGGAACCGCCCCTAGGCTGACCGGATTTCAAACATGCATTGAAATTACCTAAAGGAAATCACTTTTTAATAATTTCAAAAATATATGCACTTTTAAAGAAGTTAAAAATTATCATTTTAAAACTTACACCTCAAAAAATCATAAGTGAAATAAAATATATGATTTAAGGTTTGGCCTATATAATATATTATATTTATTTTCATAGCATATCAAATAATCTTGTATTAATTTTTATAGTACATAAAAATATACCTATTGCTTGCATGGTCAATAAATAACAGTATATAATATCAGTTCTAAATAATTAATTTGGGGCTTTGGAAATTCTTACATGTTAGGAACATTTTTGTGTATTTTTTTCTTTAAGCTAACTTTTACCATCAAACGATTCAATTCATCTGGATGTTTATACCTGCGTAACGAGTGTATGTTATGTGCAAAGTAATTGAATTATTCATTAGGAGTACTAGGCCAAAATAGGCCAACAATTTAATATCTACATAATCCGTAGTTACCTTTTCAATTACTCTATAATATATCGTACACAGAAGTAATTGAAAGGCTACTAAATATTGGATGATTTTTTTATCGTCTGGAAAAAACTAGGGTGTTACAGGTGAACGGAATAGTAGTATATGGCACTGATATTTTACTTTTTTTTTCTTATTTTTCATTAAAATATTATGAAATTGATCCATCAATAAATACAACTACTTGTGTACGTATTGTTTTAATTTCGATAGGTTTTAATTGATTCATTTAATTAGTTCAAAAATTTTGTTGAAACAAATTTTATATTTTAGTACCGAAAGTATATTTCAAATTAGTAGTATTTATTGATATGATCAATTTCATATGTTAATGAAAAAATTGTAAAATATCAGTGCCATAGGCTTATTCCTTTCACCTGTTACACTTACACTTAGTTTTTCCCAGACGGTAAAAAATCAGCCAGTGTACATAGGAAATAGAAAAACTAAACTTTTAACGTGTTTATAAAAATACCTTCTAATCAGCTTACAGACATAATTTACTTTAGTTAAGTACACTTATTTCGCTCACAACACAACGGTCAAACTCTGTGTGGTATAAATACATTTTTCAACATATGTGCATAAACTAATTTTATATTATTTGACATAAACTTAAATGGCCAACACAATGTAAAGTACGTGAGGATGTTACGATCACCTTAAGCTTTACCGCCCTATAAAACCAAAACTGGAAAGAGAACAGAGACCAAACACAAAATCGTTTTCTATGATTTATTTATATTAACAAAAAATAGCAAAACAGCTTCGAGAATTATTACAAACACTCCGAAAAATCAAGTTAAAAAACTAACTACACTACACAAAACTAAAATCGACTAAAATATTCACTTTCATGTCAAGTGTCCAAATGGCGTCGATAAAGCCGCGCCCTTTTGACCCTTTATTATATGATTGACTGATGAAGAGATATCGTATAATAGAGTCTTCTATGGAAACAAGGCTGTAGTTTTTGAGTTATAAGAAAGTGACCATATTAACCGGATGATCATATTATCCTCACGTATTATAGTGATAAATAATAATCCTCAAATTATATAGTATAATGTACGAGGAAGTCTATCTATTTAATTAACTAAATGCAGTTGATTACATAATATTTCAAGAGCCGTGGTAGCTCAGATGGTTAACGCTCGCTGTAAATATAACAGAATGCGAGTAACCCGGGTTCGATCCCCGCCGGCACCAATGAAATTGTTAAATGCAATTTTAAGTGCTAATTTACCACGTGCTCGGCGGTGTAGAAAAACATCGTGAGGAAACCTGCATGTCTGAGGAATAAGAAAAAATATTTCGAAGACATGTGAAGTTCGCCAACACGCATTGGGGCAGCGCGGCGGACACTTCCTTGCCCTAAAACCCTCTCAGAAATGAGGGGAGGCCTGTGCCCAGCAGTGGGACGTATATAGGCTGTAGCTTTACTTTACTTTACTTTACATAATATTTAAAAACTCTTCGTCTTGATCCAGTCAAAAAAGTATAAGAGCTGTTTATACATAAAATCATATTTATTTACATTCTTATTCCTTTTGCAACCCATTAATTGTTTTAAAATTTAATAACAACGCTATGTATTAAAAAGGTAGGCTAGTGCACAGATACAATATTCAAACGAAATATTTTAACCATGACAAGTCAGTACAAATATTTTCATAGCCACAAAGTGAAAAATATTACACGAAAGGCTACATAAATTATTTGTAAAGCGATGGTAGCGTAATTAAAACTTCAAAATATATAAAAATTATATTCAAAAAAATAATTTTAAAACAATACTGTTTGTATTTTAAACTTTTCAAATGGCAACATTGTAACTGATTGACTCAACTGTATGATCAAGTGTAGCTTGCTACATATCTATTTATCTATGACCAAGTGCTAAATTGTACATTAATTTTGTATTTACTTGTTAACGTTACGCCATGTAAATAAGATGTAAATATTAATTATTTGTAAGTTTTTACACGACAATATTTGTAATAAAACTGATTAATAATAACGGTAGCTTTTATTTATATGCCCTTTTCGCTGTTTGTAATTTTGATATACAATTTGTTCATTAATAATGAAAATAAGTAACATATTAATGTACTCCAGACCGAATTTCGGTCACGGCGACCACCCTCAACGGAGACTAACCATCGACGCGGGACAGGATTATAGTGTGTAGCACAGGGGCACTCTCTATTCCCTCTCCCTCATAGTCAGATGGGAAGTTAATCCGACACCACCGAGTGGAGAGATCAGGCGCAGAAACAAGTTTACTTACGTGACTCCGGGCTGTTACTGAGATTTTCTTGTCAGAAAAAAACCATTTTATCTACTCATGTGGTCCTGCCCCGATCGAGCCGACCCATTCATGCTACGAGGGTGGATTGAAAAGTACTCGGCCTAACCAAGAAAATAAACACATACTAAATCAGTTATATTTTTATTTTTCTACATAATCACCATCAAGTTCAATACACTTTTGCCACCTCCCCTTCCAAGCATTTAGACCGTTGAAAAAAAAATGATTCTTCCTTAGAGTCAAAATATGCGTCTACAGCTGCTTTGACCTCGTCGTTTGTCGAAAATCTTTGACCTCCCAAGTGCTTTTTTAGGTTAGGTAACAGAAAGAAGTCTGATGGTGCCAGATCAGGTGAATACGGCGGATGCGGTAACAGTTCAAAGCCACAGTTGTGAATTTCAGCCACTGACTGTACTGACGTGTGAACACGGGCGTTATCTTGATGAAACAGGACTTTTCTTCTGAGCATTCCTCGACGTTTTTCATTTATTTCCTCTCGTAAACGACGTAATAAGGTGCAGTAGTAATCAGAGTTTATAGTCTGACTTTCAAGATAATCAATCATAATCACACCTTTCGAGTCCCAGAATACTGAAGCCATCACCTTATTTGCCGACAAAATCGACTTAGCCTTTTTAGGGGGTGGTGAACCAGGTCTTCTCCACTGTTTTGATTGTTGTTTTGTTTCCGGTGTACAGTAATGAACCCA